AAACGTTTCATATCCATTTATTTCTAGCCAATCAACCCCCTGAAACCACTATTATATTCACAAATATTCTCGGAGTTATTTTTTAAACTCACTTTGTACATTGAACACTTTGATGTATGATGTTGGTTTACTGTAAGTGGCTACATTTTATTGTATACTAAATCATTGAAATATAAGAGTGGGCTAAAAATAAGGTAGAGAAGTATTTTTAGTTTAAGAATGATTTGAAAGTGTATGGATTTAAAAATAAATATGAGTAGAACTTTGTGTTCATAAGTAGAATATTAAAACTTTTCTATGTTATGACTACTCATCTCTGGAACCAAGTTGGGGTATGCATGTCACGAGTATGAATGTCACGTGACCACCACTAAACCGCACCTGGTTCAATAATTTAATTATTACTCTCAAGAAAAAGGAAAAGAGGAAATAAAAGAAAAAATTCATCCCATTCGCGTTCGATACGTTTGGTTACCTTGCAGCAGATGCGGTGAAGTTCCTCAGGAGGATACAAAAATTCATGAATAGGAATGTGACGACAGCAGGGTCAGCTGAGTACGTGTTTCGTAGGTTAGGTTTTACAATTCAGAAAGGATTAGCGGCGCAACTTGTTGCCCGCTTCTCATCATCACATGTGTAATATTTTCTTAAATTAATACTTTAAAGCATGAGAAAAGAAAAAAAAACAAAAAATAAAAGGGAAAATTGTGTCTAGCCCCCCAAAAAATAAAACTCATGTGGCCCAGCCCTCCTGTATTATTTGTAATGTGCGAAAGCCCCAAATACATCAACAATTTGTGATTTAGCCCCTTTATACCCTGCTATGTCATCACATAGAGATTTTTTAAGAAAAATTTATGTTTACCCTTGACGGTTCCCCCCTAAAACTATCCCGCTCTCTTTCTCTCTTCTTTGTTCTCTCACTCAATCCGCGGTAACTTCAAGAGAACCCAAAAAAACCCTAGATTTGATGTCAACCCTCCATAAACCCATCAAAAATTTGTTAAAAAAAAGAGGAATATGGCCGAAAACCGAAGTTGGAGAAGAGCGAAAGGGACAACACCGAATTCGAAGTAGTTCATCGTCGCCGTCCCTCGGCTCCGACGACAAAGGCGGCTTTGCGAGAATCATCCGCCTCTACATCATCCTTACCCCCCACTATTTCTTCTTCTCTGACGTCTGCCTCATCTGAGGATGGCGACAGTAATGAGGCGATGGTTGCCCTCTTGCGCATGAAAAGGAGACCGAATTTTCGAGAATGGAAGAGGAGACGTTCGATAAAAGATGTTCCCCTCTCTAAGAAGAAGTAAGTTCTCAATTAACTTTGAAAATTTTGGTTTTGAATTTTGTTAATTTTAGTTGTAAGTATTTTGTAAAATTCTGTTGGTGGATGTTATTTGAAAAATTAAGCGGGCAAAAGGAAGAAAGTTAACAATTTACTCGTTTGAAATACGATTGAGATTTATGAAATATGTTTGTAGACAAATGGTGGTGAAAAACTGATTATTGTAGTTTGGAGAAAGAACCAATTTATTAATTTAAGAATATGACTTAACAATGTGAAGTATAATCTTTACGAAGTAATGCATGTCAATAATACTCATTAGTTGTTAACTATTAGTAATGCATGCCGATAATACTCATTCGTTGTTAACTTTTAGCCTTACATGTCAACTATTAACAATGCATATTAATAAAACTTGACTTTTACTAAGTTAATGCCTTAATTGTTAACTATTTCCAATTCATGTTAATAATAATCATTTGTTGCTAGGCTAGGGCCATAACTGATGAAATTTAATATTCGATTCGCTGGTAATAAAAGTGGATATAAGTTTGGATCATATATATTTGTAGATTTCTTATCTTAATCTGTGTGAAAATATCACATATGAAGCATATACAACCACTATTTGGAATTTAGTTCATTGTGTTATATTATCATGCATAAAACATGTACAATCACTTTAAACTATTATGAAAAGTATGTGACTTTTAGCAATTGGATTTTACATGAATTATTTATTGACAAGTATAATCATAGTTTGTGAATTGGTTGTTTAAATGATAGCATTTCATGCTAAAGGTAAATAACTGATGCAAACTTTTACACATACATGTTTCATCATTACATAAAGTTCATAAACAAATATTAACTTTTATTAACAACTGTTAACTTTTGTTAAGAGTTGTTAACTTTCATCCATAAGTGTTTAGTTTTAGAAATGATTGTTAAGTTTTTCCTTTGCTCTCAAAAGCTCGGGCTCTGGCAGCAACCCTCTTTTTCAGCCTAGCATTACTGATGGCCCATTGTATCTTAGGCTCCAAATCTGTATGCTTCAGCTCCTCCAAGAAACGAACGGCACCTGAGAAGCGGTGGATCTTCTCGGCACAACGTCGAGCATGGTAAAGGTTGACTTCAGCAAGATTATTCAGCCCCTCCTCGATAGAAGCTTGAAATTCAGGGAAGAAGCCCCAGCCATGCATCATGATGGAGAAGGCTTGCTTCACCTGATTCTCTAAGCGCCTAAGGAGGAAAAGAGTACAACTGGGTGGTAGATAAGAAGCATCATCAGTCACCCGCTCGAAACCCTCGTTTGGGAGAATCATGGAGATTGGTGGAATGAAAGGGGCATAGCCCGAATCATGGGATATGAGGGGCTCAGAGGCAGAAGCATCACCTTGCAACAAAACAAATAAAAGCAAAGTCAATAAAAATAGATGAATTCAAACGCAGGGATCCAGACCTGCGTTAAAATCAACTTAAACGCAAGGGATCTAGACCCGTGTTGAATCATTATGAACGCAATGAATTAAAATTGCGTTATGAGCTTTCAAGACGAAGAGATTTAATTCTGCATCAAACATAGCAGAATTAAACCAGCATGTCGAAACGAGGGGATCGACCCTTCGTTTCGCCAACAAACGCAGAAGCAACTTTCTGCGCTCAAGATTAAGGAGACGAACAATTTCATCAACGAAAGCAGAAGCTTCTTTCTGCGCTCAAGATTAAGGAGACGAACAATATTCGTCATCATCAATCAGAACTCACTTAAGGGATTTGCAGAAAACCTATTGAAAAGGATGCTAAACAGAAAAGACAGCATGACTTACCTTGATGACTAGGCATTGGTGAGGGAGGCGTCGACGTCGGTCCAGAGGTGGACCCGAAAGCGTTCTCCGAAGACGGCATGGTGTGCGCCGCCCTTTCATCTCCTCTCGAGCAAGATCTCCTGAAAGCCATGGCCGAGGACGATTCAAAACAGTCGAAGAGTTTTGGATTTAACGAGAATAAACTCGTTTATGAGTTCAAGATGGAAGTTTAAGTATTTTGAGGCTCTTAACAAGACCAATCAGGTCTATTTATAAATAATCAATGTGGATGATATGGAGTTCCGAGACTCCCGCCAAGTGTGGTCTCTTCGTCATCATTATAGTAATAATCAATGTGGATGATATGGAGTTCCGAGACTCCCGCCAAGTGTGGTCTCTTCGTCATCATTATAGTCGTTTAGACTGAGTTCCGAGACTCCCGCCAAGTGTGGTCTCTTCGTCATCATTATAGTCGTTTAGACTTCTGATAAGACGCGGGACAAGACCCTGTGTTTAAAAGATATGAGGGCGAAG